TTAGTAGGACAGTTTCAATAATTAATACATTGCATATTGTTGTCTTCTTAGAGGTTATTCATAGTACAAGATGCAGACATGATATCCTGTCCTAAAACTATTTGTGCAAATCTTTCTTCTCATTGAATTAAGGGAAAGCAGCTGTATATCTGTCTTAACTCTTTTGTATGTACATATATAAAGTTGTCCCTCATTTGTATCCCTTCTTTTGTCCAGTTTTATCGGAGATGGGTATTCCCTTGCCATTAAGTATTGTAGGCACATGAATTCAGCAAAATAATCCAACATAGTCCAGCAGTCCATAATAGTAGTGGGCTATCTGTAGGACTGGCAATGTCAGAAGTTGTTGACTTGAGCCTTCTACAGCTCACAGATTAATATGGCTTTACTTTTTATATCTCATTTTTATACTTTTCTGCTGGATGGTTAAGACCAAGATAAAGCAAGACCTGTACAACATGAAATGTAAATTTTGTATCTGACAAGGTCAGTCAAATCCTTCAGGATTTACCCTGAAATCCTGTACAGCAATTTGCAGATCTTTTGTCAGTGCCAGCCATGTGGATGAGTCACAGCCATTGCTTGACCAATTTGCTCTCTGTGAAAGCCTGAGAGAATGTTTTCTCTCCACTGGACTCTCCCCAGGCACACTCTACATCATCAACCACTTTCCTCTGTGGCCCCATAATCTCCTTGATCAGAAAATCTGGGACACAACGGAGTTACAGGATGTTGTAGTCAGGTTCTCCTATGTACTGAGTCCTCACTGCCTTTGCAAGGCCAGGGCCACAATGTTGGCTGTCCTTGCAGCCCTTCTTTTTCTCTAATTTTTGGTCTAAAAGCAGTATTTTGAAATCCTACTTTTTATGCTTAATGTTATATAATACCCGGGTCAATAGTATAAACATAAAATTTAACTCCAATAGCTGAAATGGAAATAGCCCTATTTATATACCTCTTATTAGTGGTTATTCAGATATTCCCAATTTTATCTATAGTTTACTTTCCTATTGGTAAGTTCTGTCAACAGCATTTATATTCATATTGTAAATTTCATGTCATTCATAAGCACAAATTAAGAAAGTGGAGCGCGGCTCATTGGCCCCCCAGGATTAGTGCGCTGTCTGCATTCCTACCAGCAGAGGGTGGCAGAGAGTTTCAAATTTTTTCTGAACAGTTTAGACCAAAACACGGCTTATTTTTATAAACTTTTTAAACAACAATCTGCCCTGTGTTTCTTTACTATTTTCAAATTACTCGGTATTCGCTGGAAATTTCGAAGTCACATCCTGGAAGAGCGCACACACCCCTCACTAGCTTCTTCAGAGGTTCACTTTTTCCACAGCTCTCAAAACCAAGAAACTGTAATTAGTAGAATCCATAGAATATTGCTAGCTTTCACAAGGTACATACGATTTCATCGTGTGTGTGTGTGTGTGTGTGTGTGTGTGTGTGTGTGTGTAGCTCTAGGTTCATCTATTATATTTGTCTCTTAGACTGTGTAACCATCGTCTAATCAAGATACTCAACTGCATCATCGTAGGACGCCGGGTTGTGGCCTTTTATACCCACACACACCTTTTCTGCTCTAATCCCAGTCCTGGAAACCACCATGTAAAAGAGACGGGAAGCTCAACACTAAGTATCCTTATTTCCATGAAAATTGCAGAATATAGCAACTTGTTTTCAGTTGCTTCTGCACAGAACATGGTGTGAAGACATTCCTGTGTCTCTGTTTCTGCTGATTTCCAACTCTTCATACTTCCCACGTGATCATAGTGTCCGGTGGAGAAATTGTGCTTACCCAGTCTCCAGCATCCCTGGCTGCTTCGCAAGGGCACCACGTCACAACTCCCATTGCCAGTGCAAGTCCCCTCTACTTGCACTGGTAGCAATGGAGCCAGGAGCCTCTCCAAAGCTTGTGGTTTGTCATCAAGCCTGGCCTTGGGAGTGCCAGCTCACTTTGGTGGAGGTGGCTCAGACAACCTTTTACTCTGTCTCTCAACCAGCTCTGTGGAGGTTGAAGACACAGCAGCCTATTACAGTCAGCAATTGCACAGCTCTCCAAGCACACAGTGCCACAGCCTGCAGCGAACCCCTTCATTTCCTGGGGCCCAGCTGCTTTGACCTCAGAGACTGTGACATGGCAGGAGCTGTGCATGTAACAGAACCTGCAGGCTGCTCTCCAGTGGAACCAGAGCAGCATCTCATTCAACAGTGCTTGGCTCACCAAGAGGAAAGTAAGAATGTGAAGATGATGGTGACCAAAGGACAGGCCAGATGCTGGTGCTGGAGGCTGAAGAATCTGCACTGGAAGCCAGAAGACAACCCTCCATGGTCGTCATTCTTTCTGGAGTGAAATGGAGTCTCAGTGTTGTTTGAATTTCCATTTTGGCAAGATAATATGCTTCAAAAGACTAAAAATACAGGCTCCCTTTGAGCTAGCTGTTCTTCTAGGTAGCATCCCAAAAGAGTTCAAGGCTTCATTCCATAGTGATACATGCATACACATATTTGTATTACCCAAATTTATAAACCCACTCAATTTATTTGAGATAAATTAAATTAACAAATTAAATTTAAGATTTAACAAATTAAGATTATTTAATCTTAAACTAAGATTTAATAAATTAAGATTATTATTACCCACCACATGGGGAAAACAGCCTAGCTACCCAACACCAGATTAACAGAGAAGAAATGTGTTTTATAGACATTGGAATATTATTCAGCCACAAAGTAAAATGACATCATGTCATTTGCAGAAAATGTATGGAACTGGAAAATGTCTTGTCAAGGGAAATAAGTT